TTATCTTATTCGCTCTTCAATTACAATACAGGTCGAAGTTGTCTGGCTGAATCAATTAAATTTTATGCCAAATTTAATTCGGTTGAGGCATATGAAAAGATGTCAATTTTTTGTCTACGGTTATGATATAAAAAGATTACGACCAATAAAATTTGAAACATATTTTATACCAGGTTTCGTATAAAAAAACATTTTTCTATCTTGAAATGGTATTAACCAAATATTAAATGTTTACAGGTGGACTTTTGGCTGTCTCAACAAAAGTAATTACGACCGAACCTCAATCTGTAGAAAGAATTTTTAGAATTGCCCAAATCGTAGATATACTCGTTAACAAGTTTATTTTGTTATTGATTTAACTTATCTTACTATCCAAGTATTCTCATTAATTATTAGAATGGTGGAAAGTGGACAATTTTATTAAATCCAAAAATGAAGACTCATCTTGACAAAATAATGAGTAAAAATTACGGGTAAATGATAATTTATTGTAACTATTTTATTTAGTCTATTTATAAAATTTGAATACAAAATATTGCATGTGTAGAGCCTTTAATGCAAAGCTTAATTCGGAAGAAATCAAGTTCTTTGAAGAAGATTCATGGAAACAGGTAAACCGTCATTGATCTATTCATTATCTGAATATCACTGATTAATTTTAAATTAGTCGCAGCAACGACATGGTAATAACGAAGTTGACACACTTTATTGGGCTTTATTAATTTCATATCGCGTTATCGCGGTAAATGAGAATCCTCCTCGCCATTGTGTACTTATTATCCACAAAGATGAAATACAACTTCCTCATTCACAAATTCCTGGTGTAAATATTTAAGGAATTTCATTTTTTTGGTTATATGTTAATGTATTATCTCATATTCTAATATCATTTTCTAAATATCAAAGGTAGAAGTTTTGACATTGGAAGAATTCGAAAGGAAATTCGATCAGATTCTTCAAATTTTTGAGTGACATTAACGTTTAGAATTGTTTATCTGACTTTGCTATAATGTATACTGTATATTATATTCCCATATCTTCATGATCAAATTTGTAAACTTTATAGACATCGATTTTTTTACACCCAATCTTCCTTAGTTGATTTAAATTGTTGCTAGAAACAATTTCGATATCATTTGTCAAGTTCAATAAAACTGTCTTTTCCTTGCAAACTATTGTGTTTTATAGTTTTTAATAAATTTTAAATAACCTAATTTTTGAAACAAAATTTAAGATAATTGGTGTTTTAAATCAAGAGAAACTTCAGTATTTATCAAACTTTTCCGACTGAACGTAAAGATCCACAAATATGAACCAATCAGATTTTAACGCGAAAGCAGGGATGATGTAGGACTAGTCACTTTCTGCTGCGATGGACCCCAAATTCTGCCTGCTTTACATTTCTATTTATGCGAATTATGCGAAAAATTTTTTAGAATTATGCTGCAAATTATGCAAATACTTTCCGCTAAATTTTTGTATAAAACATGCCCTAAATACGATCTTTCCCTAAAGTGAGGTTTCAATTGTATTGATTATTCGACAAGATCATATTTGACAACTCAAGAATAAATATACTTGTTGGCAAAACTATTGGAATTTGGAACGTATTTTTCTTAATGATGACCGAATCCCTAACGAATATTATAATGATTCAAGTAACAGCAAGTTTATGAAGGAATTTCTTTGAATAAAGACGTTAATGAAGAAAAACTGGAGGAGTGGCACCGCCAAAATTTGTCCCAAGTATTTTCCCATGTTAGAAAATATGACGGTGATAGTAAGTTAACACTTTAAGAAGAATACCGTTCTTTAAATAATTTAATTTACAAAACGTTTGTGAACCATTATTGGTCCAGGCATAATCATAGAAAACTAACTATAAACTAATAGGTCTGTTCATATCTATTGTCAAACAAAAATCCCTGGGAAAATCCGACTTACAAAAATGATGATTTGATTATTGAAAGCACATACAGAAGAACCACGACTTCGTTGATTACATATTTAAAATATGCCGAAACTAGTATTTATTTATATATATTTTATAATTACACACCCTTTGAATTACGAATTACGAATGCATATCATTTCATTGTATTTATCTACAGGGATAATAGACGAGTTAAGTCAACCTTTAATATACGATGCAAATCAAAAGAAGGTTACTTTCAAGATTATATTCGGGGCGTAGCTAATAAATTATAGATTTATGAAATAATATTTGGAGAAACCTCATATGGACCTAATAATCAAAATACTTCGAACCATATATACGAAGATCAATTAAGCTTAGCAAATTTGATAAAATTTTAATTCATTAAAGTATGTTGTAGTTACCGTAAGCTAGTTAAAGAAACGATTAAAAAAATTTATAGTATTGACGTTGAATTAGCAACGCGCTTAGAATCGATCTATCGCAAATTTGATCTAATTCAACCAGAAATACCATGGTAATACAAGCAAGCTTTAATCGAAGTTTCATTATATTATTGCTGTAAATATCATAGTAGTTGTGAGATCAGAACCGAATGACGATAATAAAATTCATCTTCAGATTGAGTAGAATCATTTGATAATCAAAATTTTGGCTAGCTAAAATTAAAGATTTACTCTTTGATATATTTTTATAGCTCAATAGTTCTTTGTAATGATTAGAGTTTGTAGCCGCTAACGCTAAGATAGAGTTTGTAGCATTATACATAGCAACCGCATAAAATGTCCGCAGACACGTGATGTTCTGCACTGCTTTTATTGGTTGTTTCCCCGTG